GTTCTGTCTCACACCAGCTTCATAGAACCGATGAATAAACCGCCAAAAGATGACCTCACTACCACTGAGATGAGAGCCAACCAGGCAGCTCACACCAGTGCAAGCTGCTGGGAAAGGCAAGCAGAGAGCACCACATTCTACAGATCAGCAGCCAGCTGAGCACAGCCACGAGCCTGGAAGGTGTGGGATGAGCGCTGCCAACAGCACCACCACACCAGAGCAAGCTGCTGGGATAGGGCCAGGACAACCACTGTGGGTGGCCAGAACATTCCATACCATCCAGGACACCACAGCCCTTACCAGGAGAGAGTCTGTTCCCGTACTCTGTGAGCAATAAACTTACAGCAGCCAGAGGGAGCAGCACCCTCATGGCTGAGGACTCAGTCCAAGAAATTTCCTACGTGCAAGAGCCAGCATGTCCCTCTTCCAGCTCCCAGGGACTCCCTCCATATCTCCCCTCCTTCTGCAACCAGGGCTTCTCCTACCACACAGACTCAGCACCATTATCCCCCACACTATTCTTACTTTGCAGGACTAGCTCTTTTTCTGAGAGCTTAATAACAGGTCTTACCTCAGCATTGCTTCACTCACGAGGGACAACTCTCCAGGATGCAGCTGTTCAGAGGAGGCAGGAGAAGGCTACTGGTTTAAATACTGCTCTGCCCATGGGCACACCCTGAAGAGGCACAACAAGGCACAGGTGAGTTTCCTTTCACTTAGCTTGGAGCTGCAGCAGAACAATGAGGCAACGGTAAGTTGCTCCTATGATGCATCTGCTCCATTATTTGCCTTATAAAAACTGTTCCTAATGCCTAACCTGTTAAAGAAGCAGTTGAGTCTGTACTGACAGGCTGTCACTTTGAGAGTAGGAGGTGCACAGGATTTACTGGTGGTTGGTTTTACAGAAAGGACATGTTTGGTTTGGTAACCCTGAACCATCACAGCATTTTTGGGAAGGCCTGAGGCATCCTCTCTGCCTGGGGGAGTAGCCCTTGGGGGCTGGAGGCTACAGATAAGTTGTTGGGTGCAGCATCTGGAGCAGATGGCCCAGCACGTGGCAGTGCACATCTGGCAAGAACCAGGAATCGCCCAATGTGATGCCTCTGTTCCTGCTGGTGTCCAAACCTAAATGCTGCTGCAGAGTCCAGGTACCCTGTGAGAAGGAGTCCTCCCCGCTGAGTTTTAAAAGGCTGTCCAGCATCCAGCTCTGCTTGAAGAGCAGCACCTAAGAGGTAGGTGAATTTTACTGGCATGAGTTCTCAGTAGTTACCTCTATATTGGCAGTAGCACAGGGCCAAAGTGCACATCCAGTTGTAGCATTAGGAATCACTGGTCTAGAATGTGGACAAGAACTTAACGATTGGCAATCCACAGATTTAGGAGCTTACAGTTACAGTGGGGCCTGGAATTCTTGTGTGAGAGATTCACTGAAATGCCCTTGGGGAGCATGTTGCTTTGAAGTCACTGCACAGCATGATGATACAACATGCAGCCTACGTAGGGAAAGGCTGTGTGTTTTGGAACAAGGTGTAAATAACTGAAGTTTACAATCAACCTGGCTTAATAATTGGATAGATGTGCTTGTGCTGTAGCATACCAGGGGCTGTGATTTTGTGTATAATCCATTTTTTTCATTACGGTGTAGATACTGTTTATAATTGGTACTGTTCCAAAGCCTAACAATGCTAACAAACACCTATTGGCATGAAACTAGCTCATATAAAATAGAGATTAGGAGGCCAGCAGGGACCGTACATCACACTGACAGGGTCATAAAACAGAATTGGAATGGAAGTGGGAGAATGCCATTAACTGGCCATTGCCTTGGGTGGTTATTCACTGCAACCAGTCATAAATGAATTTGTGCATGTTGTCATGGTCGTGCTGCACCTGCAGTTGTGTGTGTTTGTTGTTATGATGTTGTCATGTCAGTGATGTATTAGATGAAGCATGTGAAGTTTGAAATTCAAGAGTGGTAAACAAAGGAGAATGGCTAGATACCTCCTGCATTAATCTGTGGTGACTGGGGTAGGCTTCCATGTTTGTTACCAAGAAAGAATTCAGCTCCAGTTAGTGGCAGCCCAGCAGGCAGTGAGTGGGGGAGACAGCCATGTCGGTGCCTGCTCTGACTGAGAGGGACAGGACTGTCAGAGGGCTTCCAGGAGAGATGTGTAGGCCCAACAGCTCTTTTTGACACCTTTCTCCATCCAAACAAGTGCTAGCTGCATGTGTGTGACTTCAGGCTTCTTAGGCAGGAATGGCGTGTTTTTGAAAATATGCAGAAGGGAACATAACAGCAAAGAAAAATCTGGAAAGCTGATGTAAGATAATAAGGAAACTGAAGATCTCTGAACAGTTGGAGATGAAGTTTCATAGACCTATCTCCAAGGTCCTAAGGCTCTAAGAGCATCTGACCAAAGGATAGATGAGAACATAGTAAAAGGGATTATGCATCACTGCTTGGTTTCCATACCAGTGTATATAGATTACAAGAACTTTTGTCTGCTAGAAGATAGTTTCTGTGTTGCTAACAGCTCAGCTGTCCTCTAGCCAGATTTGCCACTTTGGTGATACATGCTTTTAGGTGACCACTATGCCCAGGTCATGGTACTCTTTAAGTGAAGCACAGCGGGCAACTTATTTGAGCTGAAGGTGATTTTCTGTCATTAGTTACTTTGGAGGTGCTGAAGAAAAGGGATGGAGCTGATCCTATAGGCTGGGACTTTGGAGAGGATTAATTCCTTTCTCTGCTTTCATCATAGTAATTGTCTCAGAACCAGCTACTTGAACTGGCAGGGGATATCACCCACTGACACAAGGTGCAAACCCAGCCCCGGAGTGTGTCAGAAACTGGAAACAAACGTTCCCCATTGTAGTGGAGAATTATTGTCTATAGTTCACCACAAATGCAAAAATGTACTTTCAGGAGAAAAGGCTGTTGTCTTCTCAAGCCGTTGATGCCTAATTATAACATACAAGTTCTGAGTGTTAGGTATCTGAGTAAACATCTTAACAAGAGCACACAATGTCTGTGAGCAAATACAGCCTGTGCAATCCAATAATTTATTAAACTTTCATCTTGTAAAGCCAGTTACAAATTAAAAAAGACAGCAGAAGGAAATCTGTAATAGAAATGAGCAAAATTACAACAAATACTAATGGGAGTTACATTCCCAGGTGGGTTCAAGCTGCCTGCAGCAACCCAAGAGCCAGAACACAGAGCTAGTGCAGAGTTAGGACAGGGATCATCAAGGCTGTTCTGATACAGAGATGCAGTCAGTGTAATGACCAATAACAACTTGTTACTTCTCAGTTTGCCTTTGCATTCCTGTTCTCTCTCACTTGTGACCTGCTCAGCTTTTTATTCTTTGTGACAAAAACAGGGTGGTTGTAGGATCCTTCGGTAAAGCTATTTAAGGCAAAACTCCAGTTGAATCTATGATACACAGTAGTGGCTACTCTCTTAGGCTGCTTATGTGGCAAGTGCACAGAGTATTTGCACATGCTGCAGTGCAGTGGAAATGAGAGAAAAGCACAGATTATGTACAGTGTTTTTTCTTGTACTGTCAACCTCTAAACTACAGTGTTCTGCAACACAGTATTAGTGTCATGGCACAATTTGACAATGAACTGGAACTGAACCTCTTGCATACTGACTCCTAGTTTGCCTCCCTATGAAATTTCTATTATTTTGCAGCTCACAGGCCTTAGCTGCCACTTCTTCAGAAGTGAAAACATCCAATGTTACACCTGGAACAAGGCCCACATTACATATAGCTCGTCAGTTTCATTAAGCAACTGAATAGGCTTCTGTACTCTGGGTACCCAAGACTAGACAAGGCTCATAGAAAATGGCTAGCCACTAGGTTTCTGATTGCTAATGCAACCAATTTATGGTGTGACTGATAGTGAATATTGTTCTAAACAATGAAATTAAGTTTCTGAAGTCAAGAGACTGAAGATGACTGTCATCTTTCACTAAGAAGAAAAAATATTCTTCTTCAAGTTGCAAGTAGCTATAAAAGCCTCTAAGAAGCTAGAAGAACCTCCAAGGTGTTTTGGCAAAATTGCATTGTTTTCAGGTTTTGCTGATGACTAGGGACCTAGGGGAGAGAGGAAGGGGATTTGGGGATTCAGTTATGGGAGCAGTTCCAATTAGAATTTGGAGGATGAAGAGTTTGGCATCTGCTTACAGTAGTACAGAGGAAGTGAAATTCTTGCCTATGACCATTTATCTAGGTACTCAGTAGGAAACAGCTCATTTAAAACTGAAGTTCAGGGACCCCCAGTCATCCTAAAGTCCCATATAGACAGAAGAACTTAATGCAGGCAGGCTGCTCCCCATAAAAACCCCTGACCTCCATCTAATACCTGGAGTTTGAGAGGAATGGCTCTTCTGGCAATGCAACTTAATCAATCTCATCCTCTGGGCTGTATATGTGAAAGGCAGTCATTAGTTTTTAGGCAATAGGTGCTGCTTGGAATGTACCCAAAATGGCACGTGATTATCTATTTCAGGGGTGCCAAAGATTTTCAGTCCCAAAGATTTTCTCCAATGTAGAAATATTTAGAATTTTAACTAGAAGTGCTGCTTTTTACAGTCACGTACCTGTGAACTTCTATTGGAAGGTAAAGAATCACCTCACATAGTTTTGTTTGTAGTTTAATGCTCTCTCATGTAGGGTTTGACCTCTTAGTTGGACCACTTGGCTTCAATTATACAAAGGCATTTTCTTTTGAGACCAGATCAGATCACTAGTATATCCTGAAGAAAAAACCCACAGTGACTTACATTTTAGAGCTACTTGCAAAATAAATAATAAACAAATACTCTTTTTAGAAGACCATGCTGTGATCTCATGATCCCAGATGTTTGCATGTTGGAAATTGCTAAGGAAGCTTAAGTTTGCCTCCTGTAGTGCAGAAATTATTCCTGTGAATTTTTCTGCCATTATGACAGGTAACGGTGAAAGCAGCAGAGAGGACAGGCAGAAGGAGGATGCTTCCAACATTGCTTCTTCAAAGTACTTTGTTCATCAAACGAGCAAAGGGACAACAAAGTTTTGGGCCATTGCCATTTAACACCAGTTGTTGCTGTTCAGTGTCTTTGGGCTGAGGTGCAAATCCTATGGTGCTGTAGATGACACTGCAGTTTTTAAATACAGTAGTCAGTCAAGTGGAGTTCTTAAAAAATATCTTTGCTACACTTGTGCTGGCACGTTGCAAACACCAATCATTAAACAATGGCCTCTCTCTTGTGGCAGTTCATTCCTATCACCTAGTCCAGATGCTTGCATGACTGTCCACACTGGTGGCCGATTTGACACTGCAGCGTTTCTTCACAATCATGTTGATGTATGCTTTCATGATCTTTATTATCTCACCCACCTAGAGGGAGAACACAGTAACAGAGGGTAAGCACATTAAAAACCTGATTTCATTCAGGCATACCAGACATTTTGCAGGAAAAGATTCCCCTTGTCCAAAGTTATGGTACTATAAATTTCGAATGTCATACTAAATGTGCATGTAACAGGTTTAGAATGCTTGGCAGGTTTGTGCTCTGTTGTAGCAACACGTAAAGAGCTTGTAGCTCAAAAAAAGCAACTTCAATGCTACTAAACTTTTTTTTCTTTGGAAGTTTGTGAACTCCTAATTCCTATACTGGAAGAAAAAAAAAAATTAGTACACTCTTGAGCACCCAAAATTTGAAATTCCCAGTGCACTGGAAGACCATTCAACCTCCTTCCCTTTCTAACCAGCAACTGTTATTTTTCCTCTTCATTCCTGTATTTAAGAAGAGGTTCAGTAGCACTTTAGGGTTAAGCACCCTTCATCTTTTTCCTTGGCTGTCCTATCTGTTCAGTAGGAGCTCTCACATATAAACTTGTCTAGCCCATGGAAATTAGAGCTTTACGGAAGTGCTAGTAAAACTGCATACAGAACAAGTCTTGTGTTTTCATGTACCTGGGATGTTTCAAAGAACATTTCTCTCTCATCCACTGTAATTTTGAAGGTGTTAGGTTGTGGTGCTCCAAAGAAAACAATGTGTTCATACTGAAAAGTTTCTAGTGGTTTAGGATCTCCTCGTTTGTAGATGGACACATTCTCTGTGCTGACTCCAAGCCAAAGATCATTTGGAAATCCACCTTCTTTGCACTGCAGGAAGAGAAATAGGAGTTTTTGTGTTAATGCAGTGGAGGATCAAACCATGTTTGATTCAAGGAAAAGCCCTCCATTTCTGGCTCCTGCAGAAGCAGGAGCAACTCTTCACCCCAATAGAATATCTGCAGAAGGAATCTTGTAAGCACTCCTGCTGCAAAGATTTGGAAGTGACATGGCTGTGAGTCAAATACTAGTTGGGTAATAAATAATTTTAACACCTGACAGTTCTCATCAGGTTTTAAAGTGATTTAGGAAGTCAATATTCCCCTTATTATTTAATAGATAATACAGGGAGTGCAAGCAACTTCCCATGGTAATCTACCTAGGCAGCAACATAACTGGTAAAACTGGAACTGTGGATTCCTGCTCTAGCAGGCAAATCACAGTGGTCTAAGTGACCTAGTCTGAGCAGTTTCTTTTACACTGCTACCAGACAGGATTGTACTTTTTGCTGTTGGGGACAACAGAGCTTCATTTTACTTTAATTTCCACTCTCTACAACCAGAAATGCCCTGAAAAAAATTCCAAGAATTCTACTGCTCTTCTAATGAAATGGGAATCCATCATCTCCCTCCAGTTACTGGGACACACCATTTTGTTTGCTCTGTGCTCTCTGCATAACACCTCCTTAGGCATGGAGCACTGCAGGCAGCCAGTTCCTGAAATTCCCTTCTGTTACTGGGCAATATAAGACACACAGCTCTTTCTGTTCTCCAGACTGATGCCCCTCCTTAGCAGTAGCTACATGAGTTCATACACTGCTTACCTCAACATCAAAGAGGGTTGACCCATAACCTGGCCACTCCTTTACAATGGACATGTATTTCACCATGGCCTGATGCTGAGAGAGTCCCTGCAGCTTGGTCCATTTCTGTGCTATGCTTGCCCGAGCAGCTGAAAGCTCTTCCTTCACCCACATCTCCATCATCTGCTCCTCTTCTACCTTCTGCTTCTTTACAGAGCCTGTCTTGAAGCTACGTTTCAATGTCCCTTCAAGGAAGCTGGTCCGTCTCCTCTCCAGAGTGTGACTGGTAGTGCCACTGCTCTTTGTTGAGTGCAATATTTTGGATTTCAGTCTGTTAACTGGGTAGATTCCATCCAGGGTCCAACTTATTTTAGAATAATCTCCATGCAGGTACTGCAGCCGTAGAGCTGCTAAGCGTTGCAGAGTGTCCTCTGGTGCAGGAAAATGACCATCTATGAGGCTTTCGTGAGCCTACAAACAAATAAAAAGTCCCCCAACTCATTAGAAAGCAGAAGCACACTTTAGTCACAGCTGGGTCCAAGTACAGATTCCTACAGCATCTGCCCATCCCAGCAGGAAAGTCAATCCCAGTGGAAAAGACATAATTCAGGAGGTCAGAAGAGACATTACAATAGAGAAGTCCAAGTCTGCAAGTCTGGTCGATGTGATAGGAACACCTCTTTCTGCAAGTGTGGACAAGACAGAGATCTTTGAAGGGCCCTATCCTGTAGTGAAAGTCTTACAATGAGGACTTCTTAGGTCTAGAACAGATGGGAGAGACTGCAATTGAGGCAATTTGTTTTGTGTTGTGCCAGCAACAGCTCCTATGAGGAGATGATTATTCAGCACCAGGTAGTTAGATGTAATAAACTCAAGACTCTCAAGTCTTGTTGCACACCAGCATCTCCCACCTCCTCCTCTTTCACCTGCTATCTCCCCCAATCTTATTGCTTCCCTTTCTCAGTTTTTCTGTAAAAATTATTTTGAGGGGGTTTTGCTACATCCAGTGTCTGGACTACACCTCCTTTCCTACTGTTACTTCTCTACCACCACACCCTGCTAGAGAAAGCTGACTGAAAGCCTTGTCAACAGGGACTTTGGTACAACAGAGTTTCCCAAGAATACCTCGATGTCTTGTTCCTGTTTCCTAGACATTCCATAGCTAACAATAATCAATTTGAGAAAGCTCTCTCAGGGCACCATTGTCTGTACATGCCATCCATTTGATGGCCAGTGAGTTTCAGTCTTCAGAACACTGACCCCCTTCAACACACATTAATTAATTTTCAACAGCTAAAATTTTCTTCAGCAAGCTCTAAGTGTTCATTAGAAGTAAGAAAGGTGGGACAAATCACAAAGCTGGGTACTCCAGTCAGCTCAGTTTTGCATCCCTAATTACAAGGTTATTTCACAGCAGTGTGATCTCTGGCCTAACCAGCATCATTGCATGGAGTAGAGTGACATAAAAGAAGATTACATGGCAGATAAATATTGTCAAGTACATTCTCTTTTCCTTTTACTCTAATACTCTTCTAGTACCTCTTTGTTAATCAAAAGAAACTGCCCAAAAGATGGGTTTTTAGTCAATTCCTGTAACACCTCAAGCCTATGCTTTTCTTATAAGCTGATTCACAGATAGCAAGATTTTCCAGTTTTCTTTACACCTGTGTTCTGTAACCAGTTCATTTTATGATTCTTCTTAAATCATTATCCACATTTCTGTATCTTTTATATGTAAAGATAAATTTTAAAAGTATTTCACTGTTATTGGTCTTCCATTCTTTTAAGCTCTTGCTCATTTTTCTTGCTTTTGCTCTATTCCATAGAGAACTTGACAGTGTATCTGCTTGGTAGATCCCAGGCAAAAATCCAACACAGTCAATTATTCTGTTCAAACCAGCATTCCTACTTCTACTACAAAGGTCATCCAGTTTTCTGTATAGTCCTTTGTGCTTCTGCCACCCTGTAAACCAGTCATTCTCCCAGAGCCAGCTTACCTGCTCAAACATGAAGGCAAACTCCACTCCATCTTTGGGAACATTCTCAATATCCAAGAAGCAATAAAGCTTAAAATACAGCTGCCACTGTCCTTCCTCCTCTTCTTCTTCAGAGCCAGCAAGTCTGTAAGATAGGAAAGAGAGGGGGGGAAAAAACAGTAACCAGAAGCACAATGGTACTGGGATGATAAAAGTGCAGCTCACAGTACAAAGATACCCCTGGATTTCTGAAATAGGGCATACAGAGCTACCTAATTTACCAGGATAACCTCAGTGCATGAGGCTTTTCTGATGACTTCCATTTTTTCCTCTGAGTCACATGAAATTTTGATTCAGAGGGACTTGAAGTTCTCATCAGATATACTTGATAAAGAAATTAGATCAACAGTGCTAGATAAATGCAAGAACTGGGAGACACAAAGTATTCCCCATTTGCAAGGCTGTTTCCATGTAATCTTGTGACTCTGAAAAGCATCAGCCTTGCTATCATTTGGAACAACTTTTATTTTTGTCTTCAGTACAGATATAAAAGAGACTCTTCTTCCGTAATTTTTTACTTTCTTCATGTGTCTGGCCACAAAAATCACAGTCCACAATAAATAATTAGAGCTGCATTTCCATGCCCAAACCTTTGCTTTCTCTTCTGATAAAGCTATTATGATGTGAATCGACAAGATCATTTTGATACTTCAGCAAACCTTCACTGAGCTCTGCTAGTGTTTGATAAGTGTTTGATAAAGGCACCACTGACTTTGTCCTGACCAGCCTGATAAAGAATGCCCTTTTGTCACTGAAATAGATGTTAACATGGTTTTCCACACACTGAGAAAGAGCACTTGAACCTCACCAAAGAGAAGTTCAACCCAAAGTGAACAGTTGAACCACCAAGGCTGCTTCGGATAAAACTACCCGACACTTAAACTGCTGTTACCTCCAACTAGGAGTTAAAGATTTTATGAAACATCCTTCTACCTCTCAAACTTGGCCAAGATATCAGCCACAATCACCCGACTCTCAACAGCCCGGTCCACCTGCTGATTGTGCTCAAAGAGTGCAAACATGTTGCGGCTGTCCTCCATCGCCAGACCTCGGATCAGCTTCTCAACCACCTGCAACACCAGAGACAGATCACAGACTAGCTATTAAAACACACACTTTCACAATGAAGAGTCAGTACCTCCTCAGGACACCCATAATTTCTTATACCTCCACTACATTTCTCCCTTGGTTATCTCTTTTCAGATTAAAGAATTCAAACCCTGCAAGGAAGGCATTACTTATATTTTACGATCCTCGCTGTTCTTCTCTGAAGCTTTTCAATCTCCACTACCCTTTTGGAGATGGGGCAGCTAGAACTCAGCACAAGATGCATGAACAGAATGGATTCAGATGTCATGGTGCTATTAGCAGTTCCCCTAGTAACAATTCCCCTCCTCGCTACTATGTTTGCCCCTGTTTAGCACTACTGCTTCCACAAACACGCTTACTATAACCTGCAATCTTGCTTCTGACCTGCTATCAATTAAGTTACAGGTAGAATACTACTTCCAGAGGGATTACATTATTAACTGATATTTCAGCTTGCCCAGAAAACTGTGTTTAGCAAGTCTGCAGACTTTCCAGTGGGCAGAACACCAGAAATGTTTTGATTTTGCAGCACAATTGTTAAGTGATATTCTACAACCCAGGACCCAGTACCAAGAGACAGATGTGCTTACAAACGGTTAATGAAACTAATTTCTTACCTCTCCAGCACTTGTGTGGGAATTGATGGTTATTTTACAGGAGCCACCACCATGGCAGTACACTGTTGTGGTCATTTCTTCACGGGTGAGAAGAGCCTGTATTTCCTCCTGGGAGGGCACAAACTCCCTTGTCTTTGTTCTCTTCAAGGAATCACTTATGAATTGCGCGTATCTGTCGATTTCTGAGCCTGGAAAGAGGTCTTTTACCCTAATTGTAGTGAGAAGCAAAACCAAAACAAACCCATATTACACAGAGAACCAGAAAGCACACACACTAGAATATAACTTGGACTACTTTATGTAGGGATAGAGACGTCAAGAGTAACCATTGAAATAATGGGCCTGCTCATTTCCTACACCATACAACCTGCTTTTACTAGACAGTCTGAAGTCACTTCAGTGGCATTTCTCAGCAACGTTTGAAACAAGCAGTTCAGACTTTCAGGAGTTTAGTACCAGCTGATGATAGCAGGACTTACTACCTCAATTTAGAAAATTGAGACTAAAAACTATGAAATCGAATGTTAACTTTTTTCTTTCATTCTTAAGTGGGTTTTAATTTGCTGGCTGTGCTTCAGCCACTTTTGTAATGTTTTTCAGAATCAAGAAGGTAGAAAATAGATGTTTATATGTGGTTCTCCTCCTTCCAGGGCCAACAGTTCTATGTATAACATGATCTGCAACTCCAGTGACAAAACCATGAAATGCCAAAATGGAGTACTTCTCAGCACCTCTTAGAACCAGGCCCTGGATGTAGTTATTTGGTGTGCCGGCATCAATTTCACTTCATCATTGCCTAGCTTGGAAGGACTTAAATTGGTTTTATTTATCTTTCTCATAATTAATAAAGAGTGAGACTACAAGGCTGCAGCTCAGCCCTGATGCAGACTGCTTTGGAAAGCTGCATTAGATTCTGAGCATGAATTGGAAGAAATGTAAATTATTTAGTTCATGAAAATTGGAGGTTAAAGCAGATTAGAGATAAAAAATGTAAGCATGATGTGCTTAGTTAAACAAACAAATATTGAAAAATTCTAAATTGGAATTACAGTATCTACTACTCCACAGTACACATTCTGACTGTGGCAACTGCAGGGTAATACATATTTCAATTAATATGAAAGTGCAGTCCTCACCTTTCCTGCGAGTTGAACATGCTTCTATGGGCATTAGTAAAAGCAGGTGATAGGCTGTAAATCCACTTTTAAGACAGTTTCACAGCATTCCGTTTGGGTTGCCTTAACTTTCCACATCCCTTCAATGCAACAGATGGATGGCAAGGGGGGAGTTTGAATACAACAGGACAAGTGGTAGCAAGAATTGTGCATGAAGGCTGTGATACCACAGGAGGAGGGCAAGAGAGAAAACTACAACAGGCAGTGGAAGATAAGCAGAGGGAAAGGAAACAGGCAAACAAAAAGGATGTTTACCTTCTAAGGTGGAACTTGAGGTAGCGCAGGATCCCTCGACTAGGCAGGAAAGTGCAGCTCATGCATGACATCAGCTGCCAGTGGTGCAGGTTCCCAGCACTGTTGGGATGTGGCATGTGATTCGTTTGTTTGATGAGCTGGCAGTAGACTTCATCACGAAGGGGCTTTAAATCATGGCAGGTCTGCAGAATGCCTTGGATAATAGGTATGGGGTCAGACACTGTCTCAATTTCCTGAAGGGAGTTAAAGATCTTCACCGCTTCATCCTGTAAGCTGCTGTACCCCTTCTCTTGTTGCACTGAGAAATGATCACAAAAGTGACAATAGGTGAGACTCTCCCTCATTTTCTACCGGCCCAGCAACACGACAAGCAACTGTACTAGTATGTCACAGAAAAAACAGCCACCTGAGCATTGGCTCTCATCTCCTGAACTTAAACTCAAAATTCATAAATACTTCCCCTTTAAATGTTCAAGTGCAGCTTTAATTAGTATTTTCCAACATCTAATTTGTCACTGCTGCAAATCCATTTTTGGAGATACTGTGCAGAAAAGCAGAGTGATGTTTTTAAGGGAAATTAGCACTGAAATCTGGCATAGGCTTTGGTGTCTACAGATGAGGTGCCAAGAGACAGCTTTTTGCACCACCTCTGCAGGCACAGGTGAAGGGGAGGCAGAAAGTCATCTCTCTGTAAATTGTCTTCTCAACTGAGAGCAGATATAAAGCAGAGGGTCACTAATGCAGTTAAGGGTTTAAATCCTTAAATGCCTGCATGCAGACACGGAAGCCTGGCTTATGTACTTCGTTGTGCCTGTATTAGCTGTGACCCCTGAGCCAACACAGAATTTTGCCAAATTGCTGTACCACAGATGCAGCTTTTACCTAGTGTTTAGATTTAAAATGCCTGTGCCAACATCGGTTACATTTTTTAAGCACCTAAATGCCTGCTTTGCATAGCTCAGAAGTATGTGATCCTCAAAATGTGAGCAGATTCAGTCACGTGGGTAAAATACTTACAGTTGACACTAACATCTCCATATGGTAGTGGGAGCAATGGGGAATGCAAAGGGTGCTGGGTATATCGCAGGATTGGGTTCCTCCTGTACGTTTGTTCCACTACTTCAAAGTTTGTGCTGTTTTCCTGGAATAAAAAAAAAAAGAAAAAAAAAGCAAGATGTCCTTTTAGGTTCAAGCACAACCAACTTTATGTTTCTGAAGGTCCACAGAAGCACTAGGTGACCAAAGCATAATTCACATATGAAAATTACTCTTTACATTATTTCTGAAAATTAAACATAAGAATAGCCATACGGGGTCATACCAAAGGTTACCAAGAACAGGATCTTGACTTCTAATGTGGTTTGTGGCTGATATCTAATGCAGGCATGCCCTAAGTATTTTTGACATGACTCCTCCTCAGCACATGCTTCAAACTTTCAACAGTAAATGGTTAATGGACTTTCTGACCATAGATCCTCCATGTTTAGTATGTAGTAATGAGCCTGTTCTCCTTGAATCTGTCTGGTTGTACCTGTCTACCTGTCTTTATAGAACAGACAACCAAAAAGCACATGGTATTAAAAATCTGGGCCTATCACTACCATACACACTGGCACCCCATTCTCCCACATTTTGTCCTATATTCCTTCCCTAACAATACTGTATGTTCCATTTTCCCTTGAACCCTGAGCTGAACTTTTCCAAGATTCTCCACAAACACAACCAGCTTTCTTCCTGAATAGCTGCTAATTGCATCTAGTTTAGAGCTCACAACAATGTAATGTTTACATACACATTTCTTCTGTAACATGCTTTAGTCTGTCTTCTATTATGATTCTGAATTTATTTTGCCAGGGTTTCTGTAAAGAGACTTTCAAAAATTACTCCTGCTACAGTGGCACAGTGGCTTTTTTTAAGGGTATTTTCTTTCCACCCTTTACTTCACTATTTAACCACACAAGCCTAAAGCACAAAGAGGACTTTAGAGTACAGCAAAGTCACATGCCTTGTAGGAATGGAAGTTTTTTGTATTTGTGTCCAGAGGATGCTTAGGAAGAGGAAAAAATGCAACAGGGATTTGCAAATGCTTAATCACGTAATCCTGCACGATTTGTAATTACACAGCAGTTGTAGCCTAAACTTAACGCACATCAGTTAACATACTAGTTCAAAATAGATTTCACATCAAGATTTGATTATTTTGTTGAACAATCATTTAGATTTCTATGGAAGAGTTAATTTTTCTTTTTTTTTTTTTCCACTAAGACAGCAACTCGATTTCTTGGGAATTCACATGATGCCACCTACCCTGATGTCACGAATGAGCTGCTGTGTAGGTGTTTCTATGGGAACCTTGCTGTCAATGACACCCTGAATGGCAGAGGCCCAGCGCATGGCTTCATTCAGCAGCTTGGTGTACAGCCTGTAGGAGTGCTTTCGCCCATGGACAATGATGTTCCAGTAGCCTGTGGAGACATAAAAGCTGAACTGTGAAACTTGCTTCCTTGTTATCTTCTCTTTTTGTCTGTAGCAAGTGGCTGAGGAAAACTGTTGCTGCTCTAATAGCAACATATGGTGCGTTTGGTTAAAATTCATGTCCTCCTTTCCCAGAACCTACTTACCAGCAGGATGGTCCCAATCTAGGTTTTGTCACAAAGACAGCTGTCCAAGATACAAGTATCTCACAGCATTATATGAATACCTCCCCACCAACCAGGCAGCTGACTTTCATTTACAGGCTTACACTGCTATTAATCACTCAGAAAATGACCAGTCTACACTGGTCCCAGTCACATTGCCAAATCAATTCTTGTAACTTTAAAACACAATATATTTGACATAAACTGAGAACAGGTCAAGATTATGACAATTCATTCTGCTAAAGGTTATTTTAGACATCTACTGAGATAACGAAAAGTGGAGAATTTCTTGTGAATAAGCAGAATAAATTTCCTCTCATCTGTCTTTACTACAAGCTTACAGCTTCCAGCTTTCTTCCATCCCTTTTTTAAAATATCCCAAGTAACTCCAGTATTTAAACGGCCAGTATTTCAAATCTTGTTCTAAGCTTAATTGTCTTTACCAACAGGATTCACCCCTCACCTTTTAATCCTAGTTCTATCCCAAACTCATTAAGTAAGCAACGGAGGATCATGCCACATCCTGCCTTCCCAGAATTGTGTCATGCTGAAGAGAAAACCAGCTTAGGCCCTTGTCATCTTTTGGTTCTAACAAGTTTAGTGATGCTACAAAAAACACTTACAGTGCTTGATAATGCTGTTAGGTAAGAGAGTAACTGACAAATGCAGGTTATTCTACAAAGTGACAGTTATTTATGGAGCCGTACGGATAATTACCATGTTAATTGGTATTTACATTTCAACTTTAAGAACTCATAACCATTTGCCAAATTTAGGAAACACTTAAACAGTCACCCTACTCAGTGAAAAAACATCAACACTGTGCATCTCCAGTGGTTGTGAGGGAATTAGTGTCACTGGCACACTGTTCTCTGGCCCTCTGCAAGTCTCTGACTGTTTCTGTGGGGAAAGATGTTTGCAGCCAGACATAGAATCTCAGATTACATCAAGACCACCTGTGAAGGACCAGGTATTTCCTTACACGAACATGACATGTCCTTTGAGTCAACAGACAAAACTGACTTAAAATGGCGTCTCCACGTGGCGCTGA